TACAAGATTTTTGGAAAGTGTAAGCATTTTACATGTTTTGCATAACCCGTAAGCAATACTTTGTAAGGAAACGGAATATATACAGTATATATATATAAAGATACATGATTCCCTGAACCCTTATGTTTTAGAGATTAAACTCCATTTATGAACATCATAAAACATAGTTGTCCATATTTTAGAAGCTTCCATGGTGACAATTCATGGTCACACAAAGCCACAGTTGGAGGCCGTCACTCAAACAAAGAGTCCAACATCCTGAACAGAAACTCGATACATTTTTGCAGAAACCTGACGAGATGAAAGCAATTCGATTCGATAGCGTCAACAAGATTAACAATAACCCAAATTCCAGTTCCTATTCTCCCATGGAATCCCACTTTATACTCAGAACAACACAGCATCTACCGTTTCAGCCACCCAGCTATGTACAGAGTTTCTACATTGTTTCTTAAAGTTACAGGAAAACTCTGCAGAGCAGTTGTGATCAAAACTCCATTTCTTACTCTCACCATTATAATAACATTCATACTGAGAACAATACCCTCACTGAGTACACCTAATATTCGACACACATATTTAACATATACAGATATAGGTATTAATTAAAAACGATTAGAAACATCACAATTTTATGGATGGGCCACATCTTTATTTTCAGTGATTTAACATATTTTAATATGCAAGGAAACATGATGCCCACTTCACTGAAACACTTCTAAAGATGACTTCACAGGTTGTGAATTTAATCACATTGTAGTGAGTGTACACAATACACATACTGATTCAGACACATTATTATTATTGTTACAGCTTTCAGACATCGTAACTGTCAAATGATGAGACTGTATTAAGATACACAAGACTGAAGAACAAAATTGTATAAACCCTTAAAAATTAATTATAATTGCTGCTACATTTTACTGCCCAAGCAGTTATCTGGGTAACACATTTATTCATGTGCTGGTTATAATTTATTAGCATATTTGTGTGTGGCTGTATGTACATATAAATATAATAGCCAATGAAAGAGTTGCAAAGTATTTAGTCCTCTATAGTGTAGTATTAATGGACCTTTATTCACATGTACTTTTTTTGAGAAGCAATTGGAACTATATCATCTTACATTTATGCTGAAGCACAGTAATATGTAAGGAGAGCTGACAGATTCCTTCTCTATATACAGTATATCTGAATTTGTGTGTCATTTGCATGATAAGTGTGAAGGTCATACAGTACGCTTTACAAATCATATACAAATAATGAATGATGTTATTAAATTCTTACTATACAATTACTGGTATCACAGTACTCTTCACACAAATATTACTGACACTACAATATATCTGAATCACTGAAAGAACAGATTTTTTCATTAAAAGTCATTTCAAGGCCATGTTAGTAATGTGCATAATGAGTATGGTTAATTTTATACTATACGCCTTACTACATTCTGTTCTGCATTTCCTTCCTGTATTGTTTCGTATTGTATTCAAAATTATATTTTTACAATGAAAATGAAACAAAAAAAGATCAGTAGTAAATTTTATTCCATTGACTTCAGAGTTACCTATAAATAACAATACTGGTGGAATTTGTGCTTTTTCTTTACTTTTTAAAAAAACCCATTTGTGCAGGTGTGCATTTTTAGACGTTTTGATATCTAATAACATATTATTCTGCGATTCTCAGATTATTTCCAAGCTCAAGATTCTAGTAAGAATGTCTCCTGACCCAGCTTGTTACATTTTTAAAGGGGAAGAAAATTGTGTTTACTTCACGTCTTTTAAGAACGTAATTTGGAAAATGCCAATTGCCCATTCCTGTACTCCTTCCCTTTTCCTCACTGTCTCCCCTTTTCCCACCTCCCTCCTCTTATAAAAGGACAGAGAGACCCCTGCTCTCCCTCTCTCATCTGGGATTTTGAGAAGAGCAGCAGTACCCATCTTCCTCTGCTATCACAGCCTCCCATCTGACTAACACACCTTGTTGTAAATAACAGGACAATAAACCATCCCTCATTATCTCCTTGCTTCCAGAAACTGCCTCAAAAATGACAACGGTCATGCTGGTGTTAGAATGGGAATGGAACCCAGGATCAACAGGAACAACTGGATTAACTTGGGGTGGATGTCATGGAGAGGTAGCAACAAGCTCAACCAGCAGACTTCCCCAGTCAGACAGGCCCGAGGACTCAGGAGTAGATGTAAATTCCCCTGAATTAATAAAAGACAGTTGTAAAACTGATAGCAGAGAATCGGACGAACCACATGGGTCACTATGTCAGTGAATTGCGAGCACTGCAGGGGTAGAAGGGGTGAGCACTTGAACGTTTTATAGTTGTTAGAGTGATCAGGATACAAAGCAGCAAAGGACACAACTCTGGGGTCAGAAAGAAGGACAAACAGCACAGTTCAGAGACCAGGGGTCTCAAGTGAGCACCAAAACCAGGACGTGCCACTTTCAGCCATGCATTACACTCAATGCATTTCAAGCATCACTTGAGACAATCTGGGGAGAAACTTAAGACATACAGTGCTGATCTGCACATCCGTTTCCCTAAGAGGTCCAGGAAGAATTAATGACACATCGATTTTGACTGCCTCCATCATCAGGAGCACTTAATATCCCAAGAGACCCTGGATCCAGCGTTAAGGAGTGAGGCTCTTCAGTGAGCTAAAGAGACCGAGGTGGAGGAGATTATTTTAGAAATAACACTCAAACCGAAAAGGTGCCATGGGCCCCACACCATGTGGCTGTTTAGTGAGAGATAGAGGCCAGGCTTAAAGGCGAAGGCAGGGAAATGTGTTTGCACCAGTGTGAGAGGGACCGGAAACTCCAGGCAGCTTGCTGGATCACCAAGCTGCAAGAATTAAATTTTACAGCACAGGACCGTGCCGGCGAGCACCATGGGAACTCTGATGCTCTCTCCAGATAACGCTTTGAGGAACCCAGCTGTAAACATCACTGGATTGATGGGAGGCAAAGCACCGAGGGTGAGACTCCTGCCTTATCACAGGCTGCAGGAATACAGAGGCTGGCAGGTGCCCCACTGGAGAGGCTTGCTGTAGACGTCCTGGAACTGTTTCTACGCAGGCTTGCGGCTAGAGCTTGATGCTGAGTGGGTGATGCCCTGCTGCATCATGGCATGGGGTGAGTGATCCTTCCCCCGAATGGTCATCTGGCGTTGAAATATCAAGACCGGGTGGCCTCCTAGCGTGGAGGTGTGGTGTCCACTTGAAGTCCTGCCTGTTCCCTCAGGCCGACCCTGTCTGACGGAGAGCACCCCCAGATCCAGCAGGCTCCTAAGCGTCTCCAGTGACCTAGGAGCCTTTCCCATTTGCAGATACTCTCAACCATCCCGGTCCCCTCCCTGTGGACCAGACAGAGGCCAGTCCATTTCTGGGGCAACAATATCTCCCTCAGGCTTTGTAGTGATCCTCTTCCCCCCAGAATGGACTGTCCCTGTATTTCTCCCCTTCCCTCTGGCTCCCATTTTCCTGACTTCCCTCCCCATAATAGGTAAGAGAGACCCCTCTTACTTTTTTACTTACCTGTCCTTTTTGTCCCTCTGCTCCTTCCCTACTTTTGCTACCCCTGTGAATAACACACTCTCCATAAATAACAGGGCAATAAACCTTCCCTAAGAGCCAAGACAACAGCCTCCTTGCCCCCTTGTGTCCACAAACTGTCTACATTATCAAAATACATTAGATATCAATTAGTTAAAGCAATTAGACCTCCAAATTGTATCATTATCAAAACAACGTCTGCATTGTCAGGGCGATAAGATGACATAGCTTACTTGACCTTGATAAGGGTCTTTCTGGTAAAGTGTAAAAAAAGTAAACATTATTGGTGGAAATTAATATGAAAGGTTGCAGGTTTATTTACCAAACAATTTAGTGTTAATATCAATGAGTGTAAATACACAATTTTCCCACTACAGTTGGAAATTTAATTTCACAACCTCTGCTTGTTTATCAGGGACACTATGAATCCATTAGAGATACCACTGTCATTAGTGGGTTTCTATCGGTGAACTTTCTGGCCAGAAAGATTCTCTGATCCGAAGAGTATTCAATAAGCCCATCGAAAAGAACACAATCAAATCAAACAGAAGTCCTGTTGGAATTCTGTTCTGGGACAGTAAAGAGTGGGGTGTTATAGTTCTAGTAATCTTAACAAAGCACGTCACACATGAGTCAAAATCATTAGTCCATTATGATTAATTAAATACTCTTCTTGTTGACTTGTTTTTACAACTTTCTGCTTACTAGACATATCAGACATGTTTCCCTTTGGGTGTAAGGGGAATATGTGCTGTTAACAGGCCTGCAGTTTGTTTATACTGAACATACTGTCTGCACTTGTCTGGCCTTCAGGCCTCTCGTTTGCAAACTATGTCAAACAGCTGAATTTGTTGGAGATCTGAATTCTATATATATTTCTATACAGTATATAACATTTTATATGTGTAGTTTACCTTGTATCATTAAGACTTCTTGATCCAGTATCTTTTCAACTGTTATTTAAAACTATATTCTGCACTGAAAAAAGGAATACTACACATTGTCAATACAGCTTTTGATGCACAAAACAAACATTAATGTTAAAACACATACTGTGTGTGGTTTCCTCAGAAAACCAATCAGCAAACAATACATGTAGTTTCCCAAAGAGAATTATTCTTGTGAAGTTAAAGGGGAACTGCAGTCCCAATTTCTCAGACAGTTTATTAAATCTTGGCAACAAAATAAATTGATTGACGTTATAGAAAAACAAAATTTAGGATTGAGCGCAAAATTGTGAATTTTGTGAAAGCACTGTAAATTTCCATGGATTGGGATGTGATTTCCCCCTTCCTCCTCACTAGTCTCTGTTATGACTAATATAATGTGATATACGAGCAAATAAATACAGGTTGTGCAGCAGACATTTCACTGCAGAAATGTTCCAACGTGATCTGCATGCGGAGCTAAGAAGTAGTATTTGTCGGCAAAACTGTGATGAAGGCAATATTTCTATTGGATTAAAAGTGATGTATTCACAAGTCTGCTTGTTTACAATGTAATACGGCCTCAACACATTGCCGAATGTTTTTGTTGCCTTGTTCTGAATCACAGAACATGGCTCTGCACATACATGGAAATTTCACCTATTTGTGATGAAAAAGTTACCGTGTACATTTTACTTTTATTGCAGTTTGAAAAGCACTCATCAATGTTTATTCTTTCTAACCCTGAAAGATAAAAATATCATTGCAGTTCCCCTTTAAATGTGAAAATTGTGAAAATACATATACAGTACAGTATATTCTAGAGCTTACACATCATTTTAACAGCTGAATGGGATGAACTGTACAATTTACTTTCTTAATCAATCTATTTTGAGTAAGGATAATTCAATTTTAAGTAATAATAATAATAAAATATATGTGCATGGGATTAAAAGATGCAGTAAGTCTAACAATGATGTAATTTAATGGCTTTTAACATTTTGCCCTTCCAGGTTTATGGAAACTTCCCTTCACATTCTGACCAGGCAACAAGGAAATGAGTATAACCTCTTCTGTTAACTGAAAATTAGTACAACAGGAAACACCAAGACAACAACAAAGCCTCTAACAAATTACACAGTCTTTAAACTGCCCTCTTATTCTGCACCTTGGAAGGCTTTCAAAAGCACAGCTGCTTGTAAGGGAGACTTATCTGACAGGGATTTATGAGTATTTCCCCCTTTATGAACACATTTTTGACAATCATACAGCTCTCTTCAACAACATAAAGACATTTTCATTTTAAGATGCAAATCAGTGTCTGTTTTTTCAGTCTATGGAATTCCAATTGTTAATAAACAGAAAAGCATAAGAGGAAATCCTCTGTGTTTGTTGTAGACAAACAGTTGTGCAGACTGCTTATGCATGTTCAGTCACGGAGTAACTGTTTTCATGTGTAACCCATCCATCTTTTGTAACCAACCTCCTAGACTGATACAGAACCCATATGCCTATAGGGGACAATTGAGAGCCGCCAATTAAACTAGACAGCCTGTCTTTGGACTGTGAAAAGTAACCAGGGCACATGAGCAAAAAACCCATGTGGCCATAGATGGAACACGCAAATGACACACGTATCCCAGGTATCCCAGCCTGGAATCAGACCCGGGACCCGAGCTGTGAGACAGCAGTGCATCTGCTCTGCCCACATGCTGTGATAAGTCGTCTGTAAGACTAAACATGCAGTTATCAGTCAATCATACCATGTGATCAGAAAGCTAAACAAGATTAGATCCCCCCTACAGCAGATGTGTTGGAAACCACACCTGTAGACTTTATAAAGGAAATGCCTGGTGGCATGATTAATCAGTTGGCATGTTTCTTTTTAAGCACATAAAGACTACAAAATATTACTATTAATAAATACTCATTATTTTCTGCTTTCTGATTTTCTGCTGAAATGCACTATACTGTATGTACTGTATATCCGACAACGTCTGTAAACCACAAGCAACCACATTTTTATGTAAACATTCTCCATTAAGCATCTTTTGATAAAAAAAACTGCAACAGATAGTCTGGAGTTGGTTATAATTAAATGCATGTGCAGTTAACCAACACATTTTGAATAGTGTAATGCTTGAAAAGGTTTTGAAAATTGCTTTTGTTCACATAACACATGCATTATAATGACTGTCCTCTTAAATGTGTCGTTTATGTCATGAGCTATCTCTATATTTTTAAAGAAATGGCATTTTCCATTATTTCATATCAACTTTCTTATTAACTGCTGACTCCAGGTTACATAGCAACTGTGAAGGATTTGTGTCATGTACTGTAGCTTTTTTTAAAATGAACTTGATACTTATTGTTCTATTATCTTACTCAAGTCAATACTTACAGATGCTCATTTATGATTCATATATGATAAAATTTTGTCCACCTGGTAATGGGAGGAAAATCCCACATATGGGACAGAAAAAGAGGATAGTGCAAAAAAATTCAAAGTGACAAAATATGCATGACAATACATGTCCTAGATAAAGGTTTGTCCTTTCTTTCTAATACAGTACATGAAGCATACAAAAATAATAAATATCTTTGAAAGGTTACAATACATGGAATGTTGGTTTGTAATGATATTTGTAAACACTTTTAAATGTTTATTTTGTGATCAAAAATGTCTAATTACCAAAAATATATTTTTCATGTTCAAATTTTGTTTCCAACATATGACAAGAGAAATGCCAAATCAATGGTATTCACAAAAGAGGAATCCACCATTTAAACGAGTTGTCATAACAAACAGGCAAAGAGATATTCCCTATGTCACTGAATTTTAAAATCTGTGAGTTTCTTCTGTTTCTGTGGCCTAGTTCAGTGATTCTCAATCACTGTTCTGGAATACTCCTGTATTTGCAGGCCCTTCTGCCAAGAGGGCCCTTAATCACCACTGCTTATTGCTTTCAGTGAGTGATTTGAGTGCTTGTTTAGACTTTTTTCCTGCACTTGGGCCTTGGTTTCAAAAACAGTGTTTCTCAATCCTGGTGCAAGTAATACATTTGTCTTCTGGTTCATGCTTCATCTGAGTTCTTAATTACAGGCTATTTTGTTTCAATTTTCTATCTTTAATTTCAGCTCTTAAGAAGCCCAACGAGATTCGTAATTAGTACTGTATGAAGCCTGTGCTAATTACCGAGTTTCTGACCTGCCCTCATTCAGGTGTATTAGCTACAATACAACCAATTGGACTTAAGCAGAAGGAAACACTCCGACTCCCTTTGGGGATTCTGATGTCATTCCCATCTGCTTCTGTTCTTTTTAATTGGTCACCTGTTACGAGCTGTTTAACCAGAAAGAAGGGAGCAGATTCTTAATCAGGAAGTTGAGGTGAGGCTTCATTAAGTGCTGTGATTTGAAGCAGTCTGAACATTTTTTAAACCAAGCACTGAGCGCGGAAAAAATTCTAATCCAACAGGCAGATCAGATACAGGTACCAATTAGCACTAGAGGTTAAGGGTGCAGTTGAAAAAAAACAGTGAACACAAGGATACTGGTCTAGTCCGTTGGAGTAAAGGCAAATGTAAGACATGCTGCACATAACAGCAGGTCAGGTGACGAGGACACTGTATTGTAAGGCAAGGTCAGGTGGGGAACCAGTAAAATAACATAACAGCTGATAGACATACAAGTTAAATAAATACTCACATGGGCAGGTGGATCCCCCTTTTAGAATTACGAATTCATTTTAGAATTAATAGTAAATGTCCCCCACTTAAATACAATGTTTCTTGCTGTTCCTTTTTAAACTTCACCTATACCACAATTTCTAGACAACTGCAAACAACAATGAAATAAAGAGCATTGTATATTAGCCTGTTTAGATAAAAGAACCATTTAAAAGAAACTGTTGATTCGCTGAACATGCTCTCTTCTGTCACTGTCACTATTACTTTGTTTGCTAATCAGCATTCATTCATATGCCATTGAATACAGAGGAACCTTTTCTGCATTAATCCATGATAGAAAGAAAAAGATCAAATTGGGAGCATTTTTAATCCCAAAACCATTTCTCAAGATTAGGAATAGTCTTGTATTCTTTGTGTCTTTTAATATAATCACAGGTAAGACAAGCATGTTCTTCCCAAAAGAATGACTTCTTCACCTTGAAGTACTTGTGCCAGGAAACGTACTGCAAATACATGTCTTCATTTTTGTCTAGAACCAGAAGATAATCGGCCAGTTCTTTTGGCGAAAGGAAATCATCTACATGAATAAAAGCATCTCCAGGGATGTAGTTCTCGTAGTTTTCTCTTGATGGTCCCAGGACAATTGGCACTGTACCGACCGATAGTGCATTGTACAATTTTTCTGTGATATAGTCTCTGTGGATTGAGTTTTCAAATGAAAGATAAAATTTACAGCTGGCAATAGTAGAGAGAAAGTTCTTATCACTAACATATTCCCCAAACGCCTGACCGTAGGTGTTTATTTCAATGTGTTTGTATAAGTCATTGTAGTACTTTACTCTGGCATGTTCAGGATTCCAGTTGCTCACAATCCAGCAGACCAATTTGTTCTTTACTGGAACTTCAAAATCTGTAGGTATCCTGCTGGAAATAAGAGACCCATAAGGCACTTCAATGTCAGAGTCCCGTCTGTAACTTAAGGTCACATTGAAGAGGTTTTCAAGACCAGCTGTTTTTGGAGAGTGAGTGGGTGACTCCAAGTTCATCCACACCCATTTCTGGAATGGGGGCCGATACATTGGTGGCAGGTTGACTAAATCCCTGCTGATGTCTCTGTGGTGGAGAAGAACTGCGTCCGATTTATTATACAGGTTCCTATCCACTGTTAAATGGCATCCATTGATTTGGAACAAAGAGTTACAAGAATTTAACTCAAAGGTCTGGCCGAATGGCCAAAGCCAGATAAGAATGACCGTGTGATTTAGGTCATTTTTTGAAGAGAAAAGGTTTTTCACCTTCAGTACTGATGTTGCTGACTCAATAGGACCTGATATCCAGCTACTGGAGGGCTTTATATACATAATTATAAAAGTCACAAAGCAACCCAGGAAAAGGGTAGCAATTAAAAGGGGGCGTAGAATTCCGTGAACAGATGCAGATGACATAATTTTTCCTATTAAAGAAACAAGACAAAGACAAACAAACATATAAATAATGATTCCTTGATATTACTGCACATGAGTCTTCTGGTTCTCTAACTGAATGCTTTTCAATAAAAACTGTATGTTTGGTTTTGAAACTTGTTAAAACACTGTACAGTATGACTAAATTGGAAACACCTGTTAAGTTATACAAAACATAAACTGCTAACAATGCTGAATTGCATTTCAATTTTTGCATTTTGTTCTGATAAAAACGTGGTTCTCAACAATTAAGTTCAAAAGCTTTCCTCACACAGTAGGTACTGATGCACAAATAGTAACAATGCCAAAATTATTCTGTCTAAATTATTCAAATATTTTAAACCTAGATATCAAACAAGATCACAGTTAATGTGAAAGCACAAATTAGAGAATCCTGCATAGTATCCAGTATCAAATGTGACACTGTCAAAACGAAAACATAATTTCAAGTGTGCCCTGCTCGACCATGGCCCATTATCACACCCCTGACAGTGTTAACGCACTGACCCAGTCATCCTCTGGAGATACCACTCTGGGACATTCTGCCACTCTTCCTGTGCAACTGCAGCCAGCTGGTGAAGTCTCTTGATGGCACTGACAAATTATTTCACACTCCACAACTGGCTTGCAGAAACCGAGGGCTCGGGGTCTCCTTCAATGTTTCATTGACAGATAAAGTTGCCTTCAATCGGCTCCTAAGGTGTTCTTTTGTTAAAGGGGATTCCTTACCACATCATCACACCCCATAGTTAGCTTGTAAAGTAGACTGCCCCTGAATGGCCTCTGAGCTTGGAGATCATTTTCACCCACATTTCAAGCTACAGACACTCTGCTGCTGTTAATTTCTTTCCTTAAAATTTCTTGATCTATAGCCAATACAGTCTGATCAGACACAGTCCTGATCAGACACAGTCAGACACAGTGTGAGGGACTGGGGTCTTGCTGTACCCCTGTCCCTCACAGAGTAGGATTCTTGGTTTCTCTGGACTAGTGTTCTGATTATTGAAAGACAATGTCTCCAAAAGGCAGGCTACCCTGAGTTGCAATGACATCTACAGTACCACACAAAGTTCATCACTTTGAACTTAGCATGGTCGCATATTTCAGTGTTCTTGAAATGATTAAAATCCTGTCTTTTTTGCTCGGTTGTTTAAATTCTCAAAGACTCTTTAGCTTGTGACTAAACTCAAACATCAAACGCCAAAAAACTGCCACTTTTATAAAACCACTTGATTTTAACTCGGTATGGATCAATACTACACAATCAACAAACCCATTTTTAATGATTTAAAACATAAATAAAATCAATTATGTGCTTAATGGGTCACCGACATCACACTGCATTTTCATTGTGCATCAGTATAATTATTCTGTCTCATCAATGTTCACAGTCACTGTTAAAAATGATGTCTTTGCTGTTTGAAAGCTTCCTTTTTCCTTTTATGAGTTAATTCAACATTGGTTAATTAAAAAAATAGCTTCTAGTATGGTCAAAAATAAAGAGCTGAACTGAATTTTTGTTATTTTTTTCCAGTTGACTGAAGGTAGAGATTGAAATAAAAACCAGTTTGCCTGGTAGATGAAACAAGTTATCTTGTTCCAAACTTTTCAATATTAGAAAGATAATTCAGACAGGATATTTTTGTTGTTTAGCTTGTTATAGTGTCAGACCAGCTTTCTTGAATGTGATACTTATTACTGTTTAGTTCCCATCCCATTTAGTTCCTCATTCCATTTTTCTCCCAAAAATTATCATTACTTTGTCTCTGAGCTCTTCAGCTAAAAAACTGGAAAGACCTCTGTGCACTAACAGTTAAAGCAATTAAGAGAGCACAATGCCCATACTAAAATTAAGAGATTATCTGCAGAATTATCTGACTGCTTACAGAGTATTTTTCTTTATTCAAATTTCCTACACTAGTTACTAAATCTGGCAAGTCTGAGACTGTCTCAGAATCCTGCTGTTTTAATGGTTGCTATCTCCGAATAAACGATTCTTTGAGCACATGCCGAGAATCAATTTCTCACACAACAAACTGCCACAACAGTAGCTCCACCTACACATGTTTCCACAGGCACTGCACAAGGATCCAGATGCTAACCTATCTGTTGCCAACATAAGACTTAATGATTGATGTTATCACCTTGAATTTAAGTACGAATCCAAAAGCCTGGGCACTCCAGCACTCAGATTACGAGTGACAATGCACCATCTAATGTGCCTTGTCTTGCTTGAACCATAACCAGTTGTATTTGTCACAGCTCGACTGTCACATGTTTTTTGTAGATGTTAAGAACACTAATATGCCTTGGTATGAACACTTCTAAAAAATATGATGAAATCTGAATGAATATTTTGATTATGCATATTAATTACTAAAACTAAAAAGACGTGGTTATGTCTAAAAAATTGGGAATAATTTTACAAAAGCTGTTCTGTCTCATATCCCTTTCTATTTTTGTATTAAAGCAAAAATATCCAATTAACTGCATTTTTATTTTTATAGAGAACTTGGTCCTACTCCCCAAAAATTACAAAATTAAATGTATATTAATTGTGCACTTAGTTAAATAATTAAATCTTTATGATTATGCATTATTTTAACCTTTGAGTTGTGTTAGCAATTTAACAGGATTTCATTGTTTTGAAAATATTTTATGTTTTAAGAGACATACTATACAGTACTAAACCAAAGAATTAAACACTTAGAAGACAGTTATAACCTAATATAGTCTGAAGTATCAAATAAATCACTTTAATGGTTTAGAATTCGATGTTTGTAGTAGCCCGTTATGTTAACTGGAATGTTAAAGTATTTTTTTTAGACTAGCAACAGATTATCATCTTGCGTAATCATAATTTATAATAATCTCTTAGCATTTCTTTTGAAATGTTCTGTTTTGGGGGGATTTTTGTCATTCATTAAAATACAGAAGCTGCTGTATATTCATATGCTGAAAATACTTACATGAACAACCTTATGCTCTGCTAGAGTGCAGGAGTCCAGAAATATCTGGTGATTTTTAATAAAGAAAACACCAGCAAACAACAAGGAATACTTGGTTAAAATGCGGCATATCAGCTTCTGGTAATACAGAGCAGTAAAAAGAACAGAATCGAAAGCATCTCACACCAGATCACAGGTTATGATCTTCTCCTCTGAGTGAATTCTGTGGGAGATTTTTCTCTTGATCTTGATCTTGCACTTGTTGGGCTTCTCACACTGTCTGCAGCAAGAGCTTCCATCAGTTCTCCTCCCTGTAACTTAAGGAAGCAGAAACAGCAATCACTGCCTTGGTCCCAGAGGTGGATGAAGCTCAATAAAACAAAAAGCATCTGCTATGTGGCCTTAATAGCAGTTATATATATATACAGTATAATAGCAGTTATATATACACTACTGTATTTGCCATGTTATGTTGGATCATTCTGTCCCATAACAGTGCACTGTATATAGACATACTGTAGAGACAGAACACCCAGAGACACGAAATAGAGGAATCTGTGGACATAAACACTGCACATCTGAAATACAATGACATTAGAATCCAGTACTTTCTGGTCTTGTTCAAGGTCACGCTGACAACGGTTGGGAAAACATACATGTTGTTTTGATGTCCAAATCCTGAATACTGTTTACATCTTACTTCTAATATACTGTATACTGTACGTGCAAATCACCTTCATAATGTTGACTACATTAACTAAGTTGTCGAGTAACCATTTGTACAGTATGTCTACTGTGAGTATAGTGCTAAATGACACTAAATGAGTGTTTTTATAATGCATTAGACAGTACACATAATCTAAAATAATTACCCCTGGTTACAATGCCAAGATACATTTTGTGAACCCCAGTTATAATTATTAGAAGTACATTTTCTTATTATGATACCCTTGTTTAATTGAGAGCAGTCTTTGCTTAAATAACCAAAAGTGTTTACAGTACATTTACCAATTCAACATTTGAGATGCAATGGTACTGTATATGAAGCAAAAAAAAAGAATTACTGTATTAAGAATCAATGAAAGCAAAAAAATAAATGAACCCCTAATTACTGTAACTAAGCACACATAAAGGGTTAATTTAAGTACCAAGTAAACAAGGACTAAGTCTGAGCAACTCTGTCCTATAAAATAGTCAGAATCTTTTTGAGTTTGGTCTTCACAAACTTCACAGGTAAGTGTAAACCTACAAAGCAGATAAGTTATAGTTTTTTTGCTGTGTCCATTAAGAACATCACTTCAATCTTCTTTTCTGTGCTTTTTTCTGACCATCAATGAGTTCTCAAGAAAATGCGTGCATTACCTTGAATGCCTACTGTCTGCAATTTGGGAATTAATCTTTAATGAGGAACTTTATCGAAAAGCCTTATGAAAGTTTAAATGTGTTTTCATTACAGCTGTGACTAATTTACAACATTTCTAAATCCATGTTGACAATAAACTAGAATTCCATTATCATACGAGCGATTTTCTAGTTTAGTTCTAATTACCGTCTCCATAACCTTGCACATAATGTAATAGGAGCAAGACACATTGGTCTATAATTACTTTGGTTAGTTTTGTCACCCTTTGTGTGGATCTGTATTAGAAATTTTCCAGTCACTGTGTGTTAGTCTGATATTGTGTTTTTTGTTATCGTTCATAACATAATAATAATAACATCACTTTATTAACCCTTTACAATTTCTTGCA